TTTTCTAGTTCACATGACCTGATCTGATCATTTGTCCTGGAAACTATTTTGGCCGTGACTCGGTTTCTGCCACCAGCTCGTCTGCTTTGAGCACCAGGAGGTTTGTGACTACTGGGCTGTGCAATGAATAATTGATTCCCTCTGGACCCTAGGCACACCACGCTAAAGGTTTTAATTTCCACACATCTCCTTGGGAAGTACTGGCATTGATTTTGAAAAGCTCATGATAGTGCTTTAGTGGCTAAAAGGTTGAGCACCAGAGATGGAAGGTACTCTAAAAAGGATGCTTCTCGAAACCAGAGGACAAAAACAAGAGTCGATTAGTTCGGAGATATTCTGTGTAGCAGTGCTGAAAACGCAAAAAGCAAAAGAAGTCAATCTAGCAGAAAGTAAATCACACCAAGTGGCTTTTGTTTGGTTCTTTGTAGCGATTTCAAGCTAAAGAAAGTCAAAAGAACTCACTGCAGCTTTTACCTTGGTTTGATCTACTCTGAAAACACAAGACAAACACTGAAATTAGCCTCCGATTTAATTTTCCCAAACATTTCTTTCTTTCCTTTTGAAGTTCTGACTGAAAATCAATAGTTTGGATGTTGTTTAAGTCCACCACCCTGTCACTAATTCAACACCCAACTCAGCTGACTTCACGCTGGAACATCTCAAATCATTTTCCAATTTCAATTTCCACTTGCACATGTCAGCATGATGTAGTGACTCCTAAATCTCAACACATAATTCTCAGTGTGACGCACGGGAGCAGCATGAATCAGAGTTACGCTGCTTGTTATTGCTGCTGACAGTGTGAAAAGACACTGTAAAAGGCATGGTTAAGTTGCATTGTGATGGAAATTGTTTTTTTCTTTGTAGTCCTGCTTATTTCCTGGCACAGTGCACTTGCTGATAATAAAACATTTTAAAAGCTGGGTTGAAAAAAATGTGGAGCACAGCAAAGACAACATCCTCCAGATTAGCTAGAAACTAAGGGCAGAAGCAAAACTCATAAACAAACTAAATCTTTCAGGATGACTGAGGTTTACGTGGACCTGAAGACAAAAGGTTGGTAATAATGTCACTGCCTGTATCTGCATCTTGCATGCACACATTTTTGTATGTATTTTAGCAGAATATCTCTTAAACCATGGATTTTAATGAAACTTTCAGAAAGTAATCGTATATACAAGGGATGAACATTTAGAGTCAAACCAATACACAGCTAATCAAGGTTAGCACAAACACAAAAATGACCCAGTCAGTTTTACAGATGATCTAAAATTTGAGCCGAGTTGCCTCCAAGTGCTTTTATAACACACAAGATTTTTGTTTTAAAGGGGCTATATTGTGAAAAATCCACTTTTTACCGTTAAATGTATTTTGTGTGTACTAGGAGTCTCTCCTGATGCTGTGTAAATACTGCATCTTTATATTCTGTTTCGTCGTATTTTTCAACCTATTCGGATTTCTCTATTGCATGTTTTAACCATTAAATCACACAGAACTTCTAAAAAAAAAGGTCTGAACTCACCAATGAATCAGTTTGTTGTCTTCATTCTCTTCTTGCTCTGGGTCAGATTCTGGCTCCAACATGTAAGGCTGGAATAAGTCTTCTCTGGCTTACATATTTTAATCAAAATGTAAATAAAAAGTTTCTGTGCCAAAGTATGGTCGTATCTCTGCTATCAAATTACAGTGGGCCACTCTGGAAGCTGGATATGTGTGATGTGTGCAGAGCCTCGTTTACTTTTAAAGAGACAGTGTCAAAATGAGTTGCTTCGAGACACACCTCAGAAAAGGGGTGAAATAGCGACTTGTGGAGTAACAATGGCTGTGTTACACACACACACACACGCACACACACACACCGCACCCCCTGCATCGTAGGCTGTCCCAGTTCGTAGGCTCCTTCTCGCCCACAAAATCCCCAAAAATATGAAGGCTGCATCTGACTACCCTTCCCGGCCAAGGATATCCCAGGATTCATTGCACCAACAGAAAAAGACAAGTGTGGTTTTTTTGTTTGTTTGTTTTGTTTTGTTTGTTTGTTTGTTTGTTTGTTTGTTTGTTTGTTTGTTTGTTTGTTTGTTTGTTTGTTTGTTTGTTTGTTTGTTTGTTACCAAATTGGTGTAGATTGGAAATTTGTTTTTAAATGCAAGTTTAGCAACTTAGCTGACAAAATTGATGCTGCAATGAAATGTTGAAATAAATATAATTACTAGTACTTCTCATGGAGCTAAATCCAAATTATTAATGTTTTTGTTTATGTGTTACGTTTTAATTGGGAAGTTATTCCATCAGTGATAAGATGTATGAATATGTCCCAGTGCATTTTAAGTCTTTAGGCACGTGATATAAAGCGTATCAATACGGGAACGGAGTAGCTCATGGTCACCCAAATCATCCGAAGGCTAAACCATCTCATTTCACAGAGGTTTTATGCAGCCTACTGTGGTTTAGGTAGGCTGCAGCCCCTGAATTCAAACCAAAGCATTGCAGTTCCACTTTACCCAAGATTTAAATGTGAAAAAGAAGGATTTAAAAGAATGATATCTCTCCTTTAAAAATTGTAATGCATGAAGACAGGTGATACACTGACAAGGAATATTAGTTTTTAATTATCAAATTTTCTTAAAGAAATTTTAAAAAATATTTTTGAAAACATGCAGGGGTTAATAAAGTTTTGCTGTGGAAATTCATAATGAAAAACTGGAGGGTTTATAACCTAAATATTGCTTGATAACTAATTTTCTGTTGTAGATACAAAAAAAAAACATATTTCAATTTACCATCAACAGCACTTGTTTGCACTCAGTCTGAGCAGAAACAAAGTTTATTTTTCTCTGTCAAAGACTGACCTGATGGGAAAATCCTCAGCAGAAGACACTTATTTGTCTTACTCATATATTATTTACTATTACAGTATATGCCCTTAAACTGCATGTGTACTATATTTAACAATGATGTAATGACTTACGGACGTATCTATCAATGAAAGTGCTCATTCATAGAAAATGTTACAACTCTTATTATTTCTCTATGGGGTGCCCTTGAATAAGTAATGGGGGGTGTAAACAGCCCACTTATTATTTAGGTTACTATAAAAGTAACACAAAATATGAGGGGATAGCACATTTCTAAAAAAGTGCAACAGATAGAAGAATTTGTAGAGCATAAACAGACACCAACAGGTACACAAACGCCTCCATGGTCAGATTTCTCAGCAGAAGACAGACTGTGAGTTGGAGTCGAATTAAGGATGACTGTTCTGAAACTGACAACAACATCTCTACTAAGATCATAGTCAAGCACCAGCCTGCACAGTAACAGCTCAACTAACCTACTTAAGCAACTATGCATTGTCAGTTTGAAGGTTTTCTTGGGGTTCGGTGATGAATCTTTCCTAGAACAGCACTTATTATTTCAATTTCTTTTCAACATTTTCAGTATTATCACAAACTATCCTAAAGTATTGTCATACTGGGCAAAGAGTTCAACACTAACACGTTATTTTATAGGTACTGAGCTCAAATTTGGTGTGGAAGTAGCTGAAAAGCATTCCCAACACCTTTCAAGGGCTAGATAGCAAAGGATTTGCGTTCAGACCTTTAGCATTAAGACTCAACATTGTCTGCCTCCTGAACCAGTAGACCAGGGTGTCAAACTCATTTTTGCCTAGGGCCACAAGGGCATTATGGTGGCCCTCAAAAGGACAAGTTGTAATTAGTTTTGATGTTTCATCTTGAACTTCAACTAAACACGAAACATCATGTTTCTCATCTCAGTGCTATGACTGAGCACTGCTAACAAACAATAACTGAGTTCTACATGGTATTCCCTGCATAGAAACAGCRTTTCAACATGTCCTCCTAAAAACACTGAAAAGTACTACGAGTGTGACTGACTAAATGTGAAACAAATAATACAGAAATACTATTAAAAGTACGAGAGTTTTACTCACTGATGAGTAGCTGCCATCCTAAATTCTGAACTCTTTCATTTTCCTACAGGGAATTCCCATGTATAACAGACATTCATCATGGGAGATGTAGTTTATGGTCAGTGCTGGCTTTAAAGCAGCTTATTTTGAGACATTACTGTGCTATCCAAATAAATCGCTTAATTACTTAAAGCCAACAGCTATGGAGCAGGACAAGTGTTATTATCTTTCACATTTTAAATCTATTTATTTTGTTGCATTTAATCATATATTTAAAGTAATTATCATATAATGGTAATTAAAAAATTATAATGTGGGGGAGTGCACCCTTGGCAGGCCAGATGGGAGTCACCCGCAGGCCTTGAGTTTGACCCATTTGAAGTAGACGGATTTTAATGAAGCTCTCCTAACATTTAAACTATCAACTAATAATCATCTATAACAGGTTAAATTTTGGGCTCAACTCACCTTAAGATGGCTGACAATGCTTATCAACCTAAGCAAACCTAAAATGGACTACAACTTTTGGCTAGTTTACAGATATTGAGCTAAAGCATGTACTCTCTGAATGATAACTTTATCCTGTTCAGAAAAGTATTTCAACTTTTGTGGAACTGACCTTTTTTATTTCAAACTAATAAAATTAAAATGGAAAAAAAACAAAGAATTTCGGAAACATTTTTGTCTCATAATTAATGTTTCAAACATGTACACAAACTCTGAACTAGTTACGGCAAAATTGTCTCCAAGCTTGTTAAACTAAGGTGAAACTCATTGTATTTTGTTATACACACACAAACACACACACTAAGGTTGCTTTATGTTTAGRGTATATACTGTACATCTACAAGCTAAACTTTGATTTTAAATGCTTTATACCTTAGAAGGTCTGCACACAAAAATGACTTCTAAGATCATCAAGTTGATCGAATTTCCTATAAAACCACAAATATAACTTTAAAAACAGAACCATCTGCAAAACTGTGGCTAAAATACTTTATTTTACTGTCTTCAGCTACTTTCAGTTTTAAAAAGTTTACAAATCTCATCTCTTCAGCCACAGACTCACCTTGATGATGTCATCCAGCTCGTTGGGAGTGACACACGGGTGTCTCTGCAGGAAAGACGCCTTCTCGTGGGTGATGCTGGTCTTCTGGTCACTCTCAAATGGCTGTTCAAGAGCCTTGAAGGCCAGAGCTCCACCGACCAGGTACAAGACGACCACAATGAACACGGCCAGCACCGTCTTCCACTTCATCACTGATTGGAGCGCCGCGATAGAGCCGTCGTTGTTGGCGTCCAAACTGGCCACCATGCTGGCGGAGCGGGAGGAGATGGAGAGGCGTGGAAGTGCGCAGTGGCCGTTGGCCCTCGGGTCGTAGCCCATGGGGTTCTGCATGGTGGCCACACTTGCGTGGACCAGGCTCGACTTCACCATGCCAGCCTTCATTTTCTTGGGAGTGACCAAGTGGGTCTGGACGGCCACTGGGTAACAAAAAGAGGGAAAAATGACAAGTTAAAGTAGTATTTACATCTGAAAGTTGGATTTTTAGGCAGACTTTCAGTAAAGAGGAACTTGTTGTTTGGATAAATAAAATAAAAATCATCAAGTGTGATAAAATGCATATTAAAAATCCAGATGAATGCTAGATATGGATTTAACAAAAGCTCCTCTCCACCATTTCTTATGGTTTGCTTTTTGCATCTAATTACACCAGTCAGACAAATACATAAGAGCATTACAGCTRTTGAAAATGTACTCTTCAGTATGAAGGTTTAAAAAGCTTTCTCCTGGAGGACGCTGAGCCTAGAAATGGCTTTTTGCAGAGCTAAAATGCAAAGCTATTAGAGCAAATGCATGTTTCCAAAACTACAGCTGTGTAGCAAGCTGCACTGTCACCTGAAAATGATGTTGTCTCTAAGCTGTAAATACATTTCAGAAGAATCCTAAAGCTTAGCTTGCAATCCTGTAACCTTTTTTGTTCTGATCGGAATATGTCCTCTGACAAAAATGGAGGTATTGGAAAAAACAGAAGTAGCTGGTAACTGCGCTGATGTTTACAACAAGCTTCAAACTTCTAAAATATGTTTAAATTRAGTTCTAGTGCAGAAAAAAATGCATGGGATGATTGCATTGTTCAGTACATGTCCAAAGGGTTTGTTTTTAAAATGAATGCATGTGTGTTKCAGCAGATCAAGCTGCTGCATCCAGAAGGCAGACAAACTTAGCTTCATTTTAATGTATCGATTACATGAGCCTTTCAGAGCGCTTGCCTTCACACACTCATACACACACACGTTTGTTCTTGAACCTCGTGGGGACCTTCCATTGACTTCCATTCATTTTTTGGAAATTTTATATCCTAACCCTGACCCTTTACCCTAAAATTAACCTCACAGGTACTTTACCTGACCCTAAAACTAACCTAAACTTTGGTCCTAAACCTAACCCCACACCCGTAATTTGCATTGGACCCATGGGGACTTGGCATTGGTCCCCACGATTCACTTCGGTCCCCACGAGGCTGCCTTTTTTGGTAAAATATTCCCCACGTTGTAGGAAAAACCC